CCCCCCTGGACCGATTTTCAAAGCTCGATTACTCCACGACGAAGAGGATGCTTAAATGAAACGATACATTTTCGGAAAGTTCTCAACAAGACGCCGCCGTTTTCGGCGCTGTGGCTGTTCCTGCAGTTGAGAAATCGAGCTTCGAAAATTGGTCAAGGGGGTGTGTTATCTTGTGCCATAATCGGTACGTGGGTTGTTACTAACCCTACTCCCCTGCGCATGAAATGGGCCCCCTTTATATATAGGGTTTCGTATTGGAAATTTTATTTTCTTCGAAGTAGGATATTGTATCGCGTAGGGCGCCCCTCCCCCCGGAGAGGTCTGAAAAAAAGATTGTCGGGTAGGTGTCGGAAAAATGATTATTGTGCGCCCTTGTGTCTGTCCCTGTTTTCTACAATTGGATCTCGCTACAATCCAACCGTGGCCCGAAATCGAGACATGAGGAACAGAAACTGAGAAACTGAAGAGCTTGGTCCAAAACCCTCAGAGGCAGCCAAAGACAGCATTCTGAGAGTTTCGATAGCACACTTGTATACAGGTATAGTTCACTATACTGCTGTGGTGGAGAGCTCACAAGCGGCCTGGAAGGCGATCTTGATGTTACAGTGTTGGACGACACGCAATACTGTACATACTACATAGAGTGAAGCGTTGGCTAAATTATAGCTTATATCACTGCATGCAGGTTTAACCCGGTTCGTTATTTATTCATGTTCCCATTTCACAAGTTTCCTATAGGAGTATTTGACTTACAAAGGTACAAGAAACACATTTTTATAGGGACACCTGGAGATATTTTGGAGAAGCTTACAAGAAACTTTAGGGAAAAGCGCGTCCCCTACCGACTGAAAATGCACAAGCCTCCCATATGTCTCAACAAGAACGACTCGGGAGCGCGCGCGGCACAGAGGGGGGACAGGGGAGGCGAGGAGGCACAACAACCAACTGTCTCTACTCTACTGTCGGCTTTTCATAGCAGTATATTTATATTTCCTACCATTGCAAAGTGGGGTCCACCGTTTTCCATGACGACGGTATAGTCTACACTCTACATCAAAGTAATACCACGCTCCTTGCGAAAGCGAACAGCTCTTATTTTCTACCATCTTATATATATATCTATCTACTATCTAACTACCATATCTATCTACGTATCTCATCTATCTAGATCAAATGGTCGAATGTCGACAGCGGGAACAGTGCGGTAACAGTGATCTCCGTGGATGGACCCCTCGCCAGACGCTGATCGGTAAGTGTATACAGTCGAGGTGCCGGTTTAGTGCGGGATATATGGTGCGGGTGTTTTTGCTTGACACGACTTAGACCTCTCAATAGTGCGGGTGCCGCACTATTCGCGTAGTGCCTCTATTGTGCGGGTTTGGTCTCCGCAAGACCCTCAATAGTGCGGGTCCTGGCGTCACCCTCCTCTGAGACCGACCAAACACACGCACGTTCTCGACACAAGTACGCCACACGCCCTACCCCTACCGCATAACAGCAGCACACTAAATGTTAATGTCAACCGCTCGGAATTCCCTTCCCTGCTCTTCCCTCCCCTCCCCTCTCGTAGAAAAGAAAATGTGACACGTGTGTGTGTTATATTTGACTGTTTGTTGTTTGTAGGGTGGGAAGCAATATATGTTGGGGTGTACGTATGTATGCAGTTCACGTGTGGAATGTGGGTCGCAATTTATTGCACGTTTCTTCGCCGTTTTTTTCGTGCTGTGTTGTTGCGGGATGTTTTGTTAAAGAAACTGAGAAGCAGGGTCTTTATTTTATTTATTTATTTTTGCCTTCCGACAATTGCAGATGTACCTCAGAAAACTTTCACTTAATGTCTCATACTCTACATGAATATTAAACCAATACGAAGTACAACAACATATGTAGGACTTATTTCTACTGTCATTTACATCGTAAAAGTATCTCCTCTTCAACTTACCAATGACAATCCTGATGGTATCCTATATGCGTTCGTAAGCTTGCTAAAATACTACTGCGTTGATGTCCGCTTGTAAAAGCTGAAATCCAACAAATGCTTTGATCCATGCTACATCTCCGTGTTGGAAAAGCCCTTTCATCTCCGTTCATGATAACATCTTACCCTATTCTACGCAAATCTGTCACATCTCAAACAAGACGCCAACTTCAAACGAAAACGCGTTCTACGATGCGTCTACACTCCATCCCCATATCATTGGCGTTGACTGGTCCGAGGTCGATCTTGTTCGCCTGTTTTCGGCGTCTTGACGCCCGCGCAATGCGAGCTTGTACCTCTGCACTCGCCGAGATATGGCCACCTGTGTAGCCACCGAAACGATCTGAAGAAGTCGTTCCTTGAAGACTCCTTTCAGAGCCATCGTTCCTCCGTCCCTTCCTCCCACGGCATGTGTCGCAAGTTCATCGATGAACTCGTAACCCTCCTCTCCAAGGCGGCCAAAGCTTTCCACGGCTAAGGTGGTCTTTATTGTTTTGGGTCTATTTGTGTTCCCCGGTTTGCTTTTGGTAGTTGAGGGTGTAGTTTGGAGTTCGGAGTGGTTCGGCAAGCTGGTGTTCAAAGGTGCTCCTCGGTCGCGTGTGCGGACGTATTGCATTCCCTGGCGCTTGGCTGGTGTAGCTATTTTCCTGAATCTTTGAATGATATTCAGGAGCGATCACCGCAAATATATCTATCCAATATCGCCCCATTTTGTGTATTCCCTCACTCACCTGTTGTGTGCACTTTACCGCTGTGCCACCTTCATTCGCCTTGTTGATGGCTTAACATAACCCCCAGTACGTTATCTAGTTTTTAGGGCGAATAGTGCGGGAAGACGCCCTATTGAGGCTTTGGAGAACCGTGAATAGTGCGGGAACCCGCACTATACAAGCAAGCCCGAAATTTAATTAGTGCGCGGGGTCGGTAGACTAGTGCGTGTTATTTGGTTTGACACGTACCCGCACCATTGCTACAAGCGCTGACTTGTAGCATAATGGATATGCTGTACATCTGAATAAAAACCGAGATCCTTCAGCCTGTTAGAGCTGTTGGACCTCGGTAAACCCCAGGGTTGCAATCCCTGTAATCAGCGCTGCCCCGTGCGGTCCATCGACGTACAGGCGGGAATAGTCTATTTATGTGTCTTCACTTAGACGACTGGCATGTATACCGTCTCTCAGGCGTATCCCAGACTTTTCAGCAAAGAAGGCGTCACAAGTGGT